TTGTTGTCTATTATGAGTTGTGAAACATCAAAATTATTATCAAGCAATATAATACACTGATGTCTTCAGGATATTGTCATTGTGAATGAGCTTCTTTTTCAATTTCAGAAAGCTTCTCCTTCCAATAGAGTTCATTTCTATCATTTAGTTGTATTCACCATGAAGCTTATTTATCTATTGTAGAATTATTGTTTTGTGTCGGTCATGTGTGTTCATCTTTCACTACAGGTTGTCATGTCTTCATCTTCACAAGTGGGATTTCTCTGGTCCTTTGTAAGGTGGTATGGCTTTTCTGTAAGAGTAGCTCATTTTCTTACTTATTCTTTTCAGCCATTCTCTCCTGCATTTTGTGAGCACAAATGGATGGTTATTGTCACTGATCTTTGCCACTCCCTTTCATCAGGTAGTCTTACTCTTCCTCACTTGGCTTTTTGACAGTGGTTTATCCATTTCTACAACTGCTGGTTATAGAGTGGCTTTGTCGATAAACTTCTGTCTCTTCCCCAACCATTCTCCTTTACTCTATCCAGTTTTTACAGACTACTTCCAAGCCTTTTTCAGCAGTCATCCTTCTTGTCTTGTTACTGTTCCATAGGATGTATTTTCTCCTTCTTCTTTCTTGTAGGAGTTGTTGCTGTCATTTTCGTATTAGACACTTCCCAAACACTTCAGCACAGGAATAAGTTGATTTTTTTTTTCCTGGACTGCTCCTTTCTCAAAGTTCATACATGTCCTGGAAATCCTGGAGTTTTTAAATTTTTGTAATATCATGGAAAAATGATGTTTTTTAACAACTTTCAGCTCTCTGTGGATTTTGAGAACTCATATGATTCTCCAAATTTGTTGCATTATTTTCTGATAAATGGAACTCGTATGGTGGGTGGCTGGTCTGGTGTATGGGTGGTTTACACCCTTCAGGTACTATTGGATGACCTTTCATACATTTATTGAAAATGAGCATCATCCAATGATTTGAAGAGCCCATAAATTAGTAACTAAATGGAACTTAAAAATTATCTTTAACTGAAATACTATACTGTTTTCAAAATTGGAAATTTCTTGTACTATTCTTAAAAACAGAATTTGAAGTTTGAAGGGCTAAATTTGTTGTTGCTAGTAACATATTTTTATTTTCTCATGTGACTAAGTTAGGCTTTTATTTCATGCTTAATCTTATTATTTTACAGTTTTGTTTCTATTTTATTTTATTGTTAGGTTGTGACATGCATGAAGTGTGAAATATTGTTGTAATGAGTAGGATCCAGAAAGTGCACTTTAATGGCTGAGTGGTTGGCTAATTCTAATTTCAAAAATTGGCTTGATGGGTGCAAAACTGACAGTGGTTTTAGCACACTGTAAATTCTGCAATAAGAACTTTGATGTTTCCAGCATGGATGTGGCTGCCTTGCAAGGAGCAAAACATAAGAAAGTGACTTTCAGCTGTAGAGACTGTGAGCAAATCACTATCAGATATTTTTCAGCCATTCAGAGTCAGCTTCTGTAACAGTGGAAGACAAGAGAATTTTGATTCCTGCTGTTAGTGACATTGTTACAGAAAATTCCATCTTCAACAATTACTCATCATGTTCTCTCTGAGTGCTCTGAAAGCTGAAATTCTCTAGACTTTAAACATGATCAAGAATTACATGTTCAGCTCTTTCAAGAACAACAATAAACTATTTTCTGCAATGTTTCTGAACAGTTTAGTTGTGAAAACTTTTTCTTGTGGTGCCAACGAGTCTGCTTACCTTTTATGCTTCAGGATTTCTCTGTACTTCAAACAACAGCTCATTCAAAAATTAGTGGGTCTGAGCTTTTTGTTGCACATTTTGATGAGAGCATGGATATAATTTTTCAGAAGGAACAGATAGACTTAGTGATCTGATTTTGGGATAAAAAATCACATCTTGTGGCTACTAATATTCTGGGATCTAAGTTTCCTGAACATACAAGGACAAATGACTTGTTGGATACATTACAAAATGGAATTGAAGAACTGAATCCATCAAACCTAATTCAACTTGAAATGGATAGCCAAAAGTAAATCTCAAGACATATGAATTCTTCATGTCTCAGAGGGGAGAAGAACATCTGTACTTTCCATATTTTATTTATATTGGTAGCTGCAGTGTGTATACTGTCCACCAAGCATTTCCAGTAGATGCAGCTAGTCTTTGAAGTTTGTGGCAGATATTTAAGATTTCTTTGCAAGAAGTGACTTCAGGAGTGTGAATGGATTCGACGTATTTCCACGTAAATTTTGTGTCCGTAGATATTTCGAAGATGTTACTTTTATGTGGCCTTCACACCTGGCTGGCATCTGCTGTCTGTAGTCATGATAGTCCTTTGCGTAGTCTGTCATTGTGGGAACTTATACAGATGTGATGTTTTTTGTTTGGTCTGAGCAATTTTCTGGCATTCTCCACCATGTGAATTCTTCCCTCCCATGTTCTTCTAGTGCGGTATGGGAGAACCACTTCTTCCCCAGTTCCAAGCCACTGGGGAGGTCAATATGGAGAATTCCCTATTGGGACAGTATAATCCCACCTACATGAAACTAAGTGGATGCACCCATTGATGGGAAGTAGAGATGGATTGTTACTTGAAGGTACAAGCTATTCATACTACATTATGAACCAAGCCGTTCCTGGTGGTTAGTCCAGCTGTATGGATCATATATTCTCCCTGCACCTGCTTATTCTGATAAATATATTATGTAAATATTTCTTCAGTACAGAAAGGCCTGGCTTATTGCCCTACACACTCATGCTCAATCGATCATGTGTGAGATAACAGCCAGTTGAGCAGTCTTACATTCCACCCAACCAAGCAACACTTTAGCATCACACAGTAAATTATTTTGACAATATCTTCTCAACCACTTCCCTTGGACAAAGAGTTTTTTGCTTGAGATAGATGCTTTCTCCTACTGAGTGATGTCTCACTAAGTTACCTCCTCCTAGTGGGTGACATGCTCCAAGGGTTTTCCCATTTTGTTGCTGTATTTGCAGAAAGAAGCTCATCTTTGTAATTTCTTTATCTGCACCATTTTCAAAATGTATTGTAGCTCTTTGTGGTGCAGAGAATGAGTGAATGTTTCTAAAATTAACATATTCCTTAACTGAAAGTGTATTTCAGATAGATACTTACCTCTCTTCACAACTTCCCACCCTTCCTCACCACTTCTGTTGTATTTATTCTACTTCATCAAGAGTGAACCTTTGTTCAAATGCTAGATAGATATTTTTGTGTATGGAGGATGTGTTGCCTTCCTACTGGTGGAGGGTTATAGTCTAGTGATTATTAAATCTTATGCTGGCACAATACATGTTAGTACATGTAGGGATGAGAGCTTCACTTAAGGCTTGTGGTGTTCACAAAAATCTTCACAGTAGTGGTGCAAGGCAATATCTCTTCATTGTGCAGAAATGTGGATGTCTGAAATAAATTTTTAATTACGGAAAATGTTAACTTTGAAATGGAAAATCCAGAAGTGAGAAAAGCTTATTATTCACTTCTGTCTGTCATAGTACTGTTGTATGATAATTTATTGTACTAATTTTGAGATACCACATGTGCTAATCTGTATGAAATATTATAAAACATATTATCCCCATCTATCATATATTTTAACATATTGATCAAAATTAGTAGATGATGTCAATCTAATTGATCAAAATTAGTAGATGATGTCAATCTAAACATAGACAATCTTAATCTTTCTTCTGTGAGTTTTATGTTTACATGAGTATTAATTGGAAACTGTTGAGAGATTAATATCAAGTAGAATAACTTACAAAAATGAATGCAAACTACTTTCATGTTCTGATTATTTAAAAGGAAAAACATTTTTTTAAAACCTCACCTTTAAAATGTACCATTAAAATAGACTGAGTGAATATTAGACCAAACAAATATTTTTGTGACAGGTTACACAGTAAACAAGCCTGGTAATATACAAGTTCTTGAGCTACCATACACTTTTAGGTTATGAAGTGAAAATCTTATCTCTTAGTCTATATCATTCCACTCATTTGATACAAGCACTCTAAAATTCACTTATTTCACTCATGAAATATTTTTTCTAGATATTCACTTATTTCACTAATCTGACAGAAATACATCAAAGGCTCATTTATGATAGCACTCATATTTCATAAGCAGACCAAAGGTTAACTTGTGTATTCATTCATATGAAGTAAGTAGCCAAAATGTTACTTGTTGCATTCTGCTGAATAAGTGTCCAAAAACTAAATTATTGCAACACTCTTATGAAGAAAGTACACAGAGAGTAACTAACTTACTATTGCACATGTATCAAGCATTATCAAAAATTAACTTACTGTTGCACTATTATGTAGCAACAATTCATAAGTTAGCTTACTGTAGCATAGTCATGTAACAACTATCCAAAAACTAACTTTCTGTTGCACTCTTATCCAAAGAATAATGTTGTTGCATTTATATAACACAACTAGACAAAGGATTAGTTTATTATTGCTAAGTTTGTATCCAATCTTTATGAAAATAGTTGCTTAAAGTAAGGTCATATTTAGAGAATATAGCAAGTAATGAAATAGTTTCATCTATCATTGTAAAACAGGTATGTTAAAATGTAAGGAATAGATTGTTTTTGGATGACTTGTAATACATTTACATACATAGTTAAAATAAATCAAAAAGGTCATGTCATTTGGTTTGACCTTATTCATATACATGATGGTGTGATAAAGGCCAAGTATGAACAGAATTAATTAAAAATAATGTCTATCTTGAAAGTTTTTTTTTTTTAATATCAGCAAATATAATATAATTGACCCAAAACAAAAGTCAAGTAGTCATTTAACACATCAGACAATATTTCAAATCATAGAAGTATTTATAATTTTTGTACCTTAGAATGCAGCATATAAAATTAAGCTCTTCTTTGAATAAATATGAAGTTATATTACATTTTAATATATATATATATATATATATGTATATATATATTTTTTCAGGTTCTATTAATAGAGTTCATTTCAAAGATTCCAATTCATCGGCCAGATTAGTTGATAGACTAGTAGTCCAACATGGAATAAAAGTTGGTTAGATACAACTAAAGTTATAGATTGTTTTGGTATTCTGTATATTTGTATCTTACATAACCTCATATGCTAAGTTTTGTCCATATGTACTATATGATTTTGTTTTAAACATAATCTTGTAAAAATGTAAATGTGGATTAGTTGATAAATGATTTATTGTTTTTACCAAATCATGAAACGTGAGAATAGTTGAAAATAAAATTTAATTTTGATCAAAAGATAGTCATACAGATTTGAAATTACATGTAAGATCATTAAATTTTATTGTAAGTTTGAGATTTTAAATCATGGTATATTTATATTAGTTAGTCATTTATGAGAAAATGGTTTATTTCTTATAGTTAAGAAATGTTAATTACTTTTATCATTAGTTGAACTGAACTGTTATAATTGCATTACTTTTTGTATGACCATGAAGAACAAGTTTTCAGAAAAATTACTATTTATTATAAGATAAAAAGTTTTATGCAGTTTTTTTTTTTTAAGACTAAGTTCTGTTGAAAGTTTACCACAAATCTCCACAAGTGGAAGCTTTAGAGACTTTCAATTATATTTCATTTTATAACAAATTTTTTGATAGTAAGATATGATGGAAGTTTTCCCCAAAATTGAGAAAATTTGAAGCTTGAATATGACCAAATAGTAAATGTTTTCTAAAAAGTTTGTGATAAATATGTTTTTTTTTCCTTTTGCTAAGAAATCAAATAATAAAATTTTGTATTCTGTATTAAAGGTTTATCATTCTTTAAGAACTTAGTGTTTGTTAGAATTTAATAGAATCTGTATTTTAACTTATGATTGAGTATCACATCAATTAAAGAATCTAAATATATTCAAGTGTTTTTTTTAGAATTAAATAAAAGTGGATTTATATTGTTAATTAGTTCTGTTTATCACAAAAAAGTTAAATATATTCAAGTATCTTAGAATATGATGACTTTGTTGAAATTTAAGAAAACTATATTTCATCTTTTTTGTCAAGCGTAAGTAGGTACATTTTTCGTAATTTAAAGTTTCTTGAATTTTTGGTTATATGAAATTCATCGCTGCTGAGTTCCAAACTGTTAACAAAACTAAAGTGAAAGACAATATGAAAACTAATATACCTGATTAATTTTTCTTCATTATTTTTATGTTATTGCAAAATGTGTTATTGCAATTGTTCCCATTTAAGATTTTATCACATGATCAAAGTCAATCACATATTTTAAAAACAGCAACTTGAAATATGATCTTAGTACTTATATGCATTTTTTTATATTAATTGCAAAGATATATTAGTTTTTGTATTTTATATTTTTAAAATTAAATTTAATAGTATTTATTTTATAGATCTGCTGAGATAATTATGGTGAACAGTTTACTGTGTAGTGTTTTTCTAAAGTTAAATAACCTAGAATGATGTATTGTGTTGAATCACTTGCCTGTTCCTTGTTTTGCAAATTACTGATGTAAAGACCTAAAACAGAAGACTGAGTGAATGAAAATGTGTAACATAAATAATAAGTCAGTGATGACACATGAAGGATACTTATCAAACATAATGAATGTTTAAGAAGAGGTAAACATGTGTCTGTGATATGTTATGCCGTCCATATGGTAGATTTGTGTCATCACTGAATATTCAAAAGACATGAAAATAGTTCTTCAAAATATAAAAGCAAAACTTTCTAACACTGTTTTCATAGTACCAATCTTTTAATGTAAAACTCTTGCCTTTCATAATAAAGCAGAGTACTAAACCTTCTGTTTTGTTACTAAACATTTTACCAATGTTTTGTTCTAATCATTGTTTCCACTGACTCACCAGCTTAGCTAAATGGAAAGTTTATTAGTCATGTAAGTTTCTAAGGTTGGTCAAGTAAAGTATATTACAATTGTCACTCAGGTTTTGAATAAAGGAAAATAATTAGTCTTTCCACGGATAGGATTAACTTCAAAATAATTGCAAATTTGTCTTTGATAATGACTTTCACTCTTAAAAGTGATTTTATGAGAAAATTTTTGAGACTTTTGTCACTTGTATATTAAGGATCTAAAAAGCACATGAATTAAATAGTGGGGAAGGAGATAGAGGTGATACTATTCAGTAAATACTTATTGTGTGTCCCAGTGTATAGTGTACCAATGAACCTGAGTAATTTTTCATCACCAGTATTTTTCATCAAACAGTGTTTCACTAATGTTTGTTGTGCTGAAATTGGCAGAAATAAGCAACATTTTTTGCAGAAACAAAAATACTTTGATAAATTTCTGAACCTTGATTACCATAAGTTAAAATTCTAATTAGTAAGGGTAGTTCTGTATTAGAAATTAACAGTATGTGTAAAAATGTGAACTACATTAAATAACGATAATGCAACATTTGAAAGACTAATCATTAGCTGAAAATATAATTTTTAATCTAGAATTATTTATAAGATGATAGAGGTAGAGGAAAGTAATATTTATTTGATTGTATTGAAATGTGTTCTAAACTGTGTTTTACATCATAATTTTAATACTTTAACATTTATTACAGAAGTAATTAAAGCCCAGTGTTTCTCATTATAATAGTAATAATAATAAACAAAAATGAAAAAGGTGTCCATGCTTAAAGAAGTATAATATGCCACAGAATAACTAAATTGTTCTGACCTTGTTCAAAAAAATTGTAACTCATCTGTAGGAAGAATTACTGAGTACAAGATTGCTCCATTTCTCACTTAACTAGTTCCCTTCATTCATTTGCATGTTTTTCAAGAATTAATTAAATATTTAAACAAGTTGATCACAGCAGAGTATAACATTTATGAAAAGAAAGATGTGTTTAACAGCTTACTGGTAGGTTAGTCTCCTTTTGTTCTGGTGTATTTGACTGTTTGTCAGAAATTAATTAAATATTTAAACAGGTTGATCACAGCAGAATATAACATTTATGAAAAGAAAGATGTGTTTAACAGCTTACTGGTAGGTTAGTCTCCTTTTGTTCTGGTGTATTTGACTGTTTGTCAGAAATTAATTAAATATTTAAACATGTTGATCACAGCAGAATATAACATTTATGAAAAGATGTGTTAAACAGCTTACTGGTAGGTTAGTATCAGTTAGTGAATTGTTTCAGTATTTTGTATGCTAGATAAATTTGTCTTTTATTCTGATCTTAGCTAAACAGCAAGAAGCAGCATAAACATTAGATTCTAAACATAGCATTTAAATGTTCTTTGTAAACAAAAACTGCTGGTCTTACTACTTATACCAAACATAGTACCAATACTTTTCTAGTACTAAATACTGTTTTTAGATCAGTAGTCCTATTTTAAACTTATTCCAACAGCAAAAAACCACTTGATCATCCAAGGACACCCACATGAGATAAGTAAAACTTATATTAAACATTGTACCATTCCCAGTAAAATGGCTTTACTTAGAGTAGTCATTTAAGCCCTTTAACTGCAGGTTTGGAAACACCAGACGACAAAGTATAATGATCTCTTCAATCTACAACTTGGATTACCTATGATGAAAAAACAGACTTGACACAAATAATTTGACAAGTACAAAAATAAGTGGCAAATGTTTATTGGTGTGTTTCAAACTGATAAGAGTAGAATGAGGACTGTTGAAAAGTTCTTATAAGTTTGATGCATCCCACCCTGTAAGTTAAATTCAACCCTAAACTTAAAATTGAAGCAACAAGATATTAAGTGACGACTAGAAATTGAAGCTAAATGTTAAAACAAAACTGCTTTAAGCAAATGATACACTCAAATGTGAATGAAAAATAGGCTTCCAAAAAGTTTAACTTATGGTACTGTTACTGAAACAAAGTAAAAGTAATCTTAAATTGCTTACAGGTTTCGCTATATTGAAATAAAAAGTCTAAAATTACACACAGCTGAAAGTTAGCCTAAAAGTTAACGATGAATCTAACAATTGAAAGATCAAGAAGTATAAGATTAAAAATGATAATTTACACACATCTGTCTAATTCTCCTAAAATCTGTCTTGTAGAGACAAACTTGGCTTTAAATACTAAAACAAAATATACAAACAGGGCCAAATTTGTGCAAAAAAATATGCCTCAAGTTCAAGATGTGTGTCTATTGAGAGTTGAGCTGAAGGGTGCAGCTGTGTTGAACCTTATCCATTCTGTCAGGAGGAAAGGTAGTCTTCTATTTTTGGACATTATATGTTCCATGCAAAAAATTTGGTTAATTGCCAATTAGGAAACCCACAACTTGCATGCTTTTAAAACAAAAAAATTTCAAGTATTACTTTAGCAAATCTATGCTATTCAACTGAGAACTCTGAAAAACACAATTAAGAAAAACATTTACATCTTAATTAAGGAAATAGCAGGCACACAGCATTATTTTGTAGTACATCTCCTCCCCATTACCTCAGCTGTCCTCAAATCTAGAACCAAAAAAAAACAAAATCCAAGGTGTATTGCTGAAGAAATGGTGTAACTTGCATTGTTCCTGTAAAACCACTTTCCCACACGTTAACAATCACAAAGGCAAAAACAACTTCACAAATACAAAAAAGAAATATGGTATTTACACAGCTCTCCTGCCTCCTTTAGGAAGGGGTAATCTAACAAACTATGCATATCTGAAAGAAAATCAAAGAAATTACCCTGTAACAGAGATTTCCTACATCTTTGGGGTAAGGGTAGTCTAATTAAACATAAGTAAAGAATACAGGACAAAAAAAATTAACATTGAAACACAAAATACAGTAGGTCATAAGTATATCATTGTTTCACTTTTTTGTTGTTAACAAATATTGACTTAATAAAGAAAGTATAATAAATTTCATATTTACAAATACGTAAAAGTGCATAACTACTTTTAAAAAACATGAGCAAGTGCTACCAAACAAATACTATCGGTAGATAGTTGTAAATAAACACCAGAGTGGCAAGAATCTCTACACGTGACAGTGTGTGTGGTAAGCAAGTCAAGGACTTTGTTGTAAATTTAAAATATCTCCTTGTAAAATGAGTTCCAAACACCAAGCAAGTGGTAGTTTTTCCTACTGAAAGAAGAGGCAGAAAAAAAAGTGTTAGCTTACATGTTAAATTCAATGTGTTGGTGTGGTTTATAGATGTATTGGGCTACGGATTCTTCTACAGTAGGTGTCTGTGACTTATTGGTGATAAATTCAGAAAAATAAATGAACAGCACGCACTCCACTTGTTTTCAAAATAATAATATATTTCAAACAAGTTAAACATATGTACAAAATTCCTTACACTATGGAGGTCATAGTTATATCTTAAACACTATATAGTTCTCTTCTTATTGTCAAAAGTCCACTTAGGCCTATTCAATTGGTTTAGAATTCAGTTGACAAGCCAAACTGTTATTCTCTATTTCTGTCACCAGACTATCAATGTATAGTTTGCTTACATTGTTGTTGAATTGCTGTGATTGTATCCTGTATTTCAAAAATCGTCTGTTCCTTTTTTCCATTTCCAAGAATCGTCTGCCTTTTGTCAAAGTCCTCTCAGATTGGTTCAATCATTTTAGAATACCCTGTGATGAGATAACTCATTCTCCTTATCTCTTACAAACTTGTTAATCTCACTCTAACATATAAACTGTTAGGCCTTTCACTCCCACTATGATTAACTTTGTGTTTAACTTTTCTTTGAACTTCTCCTTCCCATGATTTTACTTTACTCTTTTCTGCTGTTTTTTTCATCTGCTCGCTGGTATTTATACGTCTATCACTTAGGCCTTCTAGAAATCTCTATATCCCCGGCATCAATGGATTGCACATGACGTTAGATAGCCTCGACATCAACGAATTATAAGCAAAGTACTATTGTAATTA